GTCTAAAACCTTGAACTTTTTCTATACGGGGGGGGGGGGGGGGTATATATCACAAGGCCTGTCCTTTAGTAAACAAAGTGTCGTTGTTTCGACAGTAAGAGTGTAGGGCATGTTATGTGGATACTTTCATGAACACGTAGATTAATCCCCGTCACGAACTTTCAAATAACTTATTATTTAGTGGATTATGGCCATACAGATCAAAGTTATATTTCTCTGTTGGGATTGTTGGATGGCCGAATGGTTATTGAGTCAACTGGCGTGGATTCGAATCCCCGGTTGTACGTGACCCGTCGTAGGGTCGCCTGTCCAACCTCGTGGTTTTTCTCCGGTTTCCTCCCACTGCTAAAGACCCCTAAGCGCAAGCGAATAATTGAAATAAAATTTGAACCATATGTTAGTCTCTCTCTCTCTCTCTCTCTCTCTCTGTTACTATAAGACCCACATGCCAACTTATTATTGAAGTTACCTAACTTTAAATATATTTGAAATGACAGATTGTTATTTTGCTCTCCGATTCCTTAAAATTGCATGACATTAAATATAATGATAAATAATGGTTGAAAAACCGAAAAGATTTAGATATATTTCAATGGGATGATGAGCCTAATTTTACTAAATCGTTCGAGTTTTGCGTCTTGAAAGCTGTTTCTAAACAACTCAGAAGCATTTGTTTTTAGATATACAGGGGAAATTAGCGTCCGTTAGTCCTGTCAAGAATGGAAGCCTAAATTTAATAGTTTTATAGATCGGACATTACGATATACCGCAGCTGGTATTATTTGGATTTATCCCATGTTATTATAGTTCTTATACTGTCAACTCTAAACATGACGACATTAGTCGTATCGCAGAGAGAGAGAGAAAGAGCGAGAGAGAGAGAGAGAGAGAGAGGGGGGGTATTTCTGAACTGCTTGACATCTTGTATATCGTCATGCCAATAATACGCTTCAAGCGAACTTATATGGAAAACAGATCAACACTTGGCCCTCCAAACCCCAAACGCTGAAAAAAGAATAACAATAATGTTTTACTTGAGATTTATCAACAATACTTGTTAATTTGTTTTGGTTATATCTGCATATTATGGTATATCTTGAAATGGATAACTAACTCTGATATCAGCATACCATTAGCGTATTTCATGTGATTTACTTCGTCTAAAGCCCCCCGTCAGACCGAGTTGGCGTTCTACTGCGCTGCTGTGACCGTACGGCGACCAGAAAATGCACAAAGTCGCCGACAAACGTGATCAAAACACAAGAAAATGTCCCAAAATTTACAACCTTGAAAAAAGTCGCATTCTTTTCGCTTTCCAGTTCAGATCGCAGAACCTTGGCGTTTGTTTTGAACATGCTCAAAACAAACGCCGTGACTCGGCGATCATTGGCGACCATGGAGGCCACAACACGATAGCTGGCGTTTCTACCACGTTTATGGCAATCTTGACGCGCTCTAAAACCAATTTCCATCGCCGTAGCAGCGCAGTAAAGACACCACCCCGGTCTGACGGGGGTATTTAGTACGCAAATATTTAAAATTCATGGATAGTATAAAGTATTGGAAATCTATCAAGTCTTAAATTTGAACCGAGAAGACTTCTTCGTTATTAAGTATTGATGATCCAGACAAGAAGGACGTAAACCCCGATTTTAATAAGTAATGATAAATACACCACCCAGTTCTTTGAAATTGTAATCTTAATAATGAACCGAGAGAAAAAGAAAAAGACATATTTCTTTTTGTCTAAAACCAACTTCCTGTTTTTACGAGCTCACATTAATTTGTAATATCTTTCTGTGCGACCAGGTTCTATTTGTCATTTTTCTACCATTAAAGATTGTATTCTCAGTGTCGAATCCATGTGGGTGTCTTAAGATCACATTCCTCCATTAAATAACGGTATCAAAAATTCTTCATCTTGCATTTTACGGTAGAGATGTTGTAGCTGATGAAATATATTAAACATGCATTATGCAAGAGCTAAATCTGCCTATTGCAGGTCTTTCTTTGGGCCTGAAATGTAATGTAACTTATTAATTAGACATTAATTAACTTATCCAGACCATAATCAACTCTCAATGTCATCCCTAACCTGCGATATTTACATGATTAGGATCCGATTTGCTGCTCAACTATCATTCATGATTAAATCATGAAATGGATAATCGAGACTATGTTTTTTTTATCGTACCAACTTTAGTAATGATGATCGAGGCTAGGCCGAAAATTCAATCGCTAAATTATCGATTCAGAGTAGATCAACTTGGCTGAAATATTAAGCAAATTCTCTTTACATTATCTAGATTTTAACTATTATGGTTATCTAATCTCCCATAATGTATTTTTAATGTCTAGATAATAGACTTGTCAGTGGCGCAGGACGGAGGTCCCATGTATACATTGGCGTACACGTAAAAGATCCCTTGGCAGTTGGAATTCGATATAAGACTAGACCATAGTGCCACTGCCCGGGCAAAATTTCCCTCATAGCACACTGTCGGGCGTATGCCCGTCTTCATGGGCCTGATAGGTGCAGTAGTACGTTAAACCCCATTTCATTTCATCTCGCGATATTGACGAAATCTGGAGTTGGCCTTAATATTTAGACCTAACCGCGAGGACAAATGCGGCCATGGTCACCATTTTACTACCCAATCTGTAAATTAAATAGATCAACATTAGAACAGAGCAAAAAAAACCACAAAAAAACAAAAAAACCAAAAAACAACAAAACAAATTAAATGAATAAATAAATAAAATATGAAATAAAGAGCGTCAGTGAGTAAAAGATTTGCATAAGATAACGTGGGACATAGGCGGGAACTGTGCAAAACGTTTTATAATTAAAATTTCAATAGTCATGTTTTTAAAAAAAAAAATAATAATACATGGTTGCTTTTTTCTGTAGTGGCGGGGGATGGCTAGAGTCAAATGGCTTGAATTCGATCCCAAGCTGTCCATCCTCGTGGGTTTCCTCCGTGTCCACCGGTTTCCTCCAAATTGCTGAAATAAATAAACTATTGTTGATTTATCGATTCGGCACATTATCATATGATAATGGAACTTATTTTTGTTTGGTGTAATCATACAGTACGTCTTTGGAATGAATTTAGGACTGGACCGCTTCTTTATAATTATGGTATATTGATTCAATGTGTAATAGCCCCTTATTATTGTGAACTATCTTGTCAATAATTTATCGTATCCTTTGAAGACAACTTTCACTGCCAATTGTGCGATATCGTTAAATCCACGTTGTTATTTTATTTGCACAACATTAAACTTTAGATGAGTCGTGTGGTCGACAAAAATATTTTACAGTCACATCAGACTGTCATTTTTACTGTTTTAACGATAACGAAATGATGAAAGACTGGCACTAATGATTTCGGACAATAACTCAAACAGAGAGAGAGAGAGAGAGGGGGAGAGAGGGGGAGAGAGGCGCAGAGCAAAATAATCTGTCATTTCAAATAAGTTTGAAGTAACTTCAATAATAAGTTGGCATGTGGATCTTATAGTGAGAGAGAGAGAGAGAGAGAGAGAGAGAGAGAGAGAGAGAGATGGGGTTTAACGTCCACTGGACACAAACTAGGTCATTTCGGGACTAACATATGGTCCAATTTTATTTCAATAACTCGATTGCGCGTAGGGGTCTTTAGCAGTGGGGGGACCCGGAGAAAACGCACGAGGTTGGACGGGCGGCTCAACTCCTTGTGGGAATCGAAACCACAAATACGTTCGAATTAAGCAAGAGTGGTAGTTGTTTCTCTTGATTTCGGTTATCCCTTGTTCACCTTTTGGTCTCCGCCCCGCTCCTATCTATAATTTTTGTCCCCCGCCTTTCGAAGTAAATAGGAGACTAAATGGGTCTGTCCAACCGTCACACTTTGTGGGATACAATAACTCTCCTTCTATTTGAGCGAGAATGGTCAAATTTGGTGTAGGTGTTTATTAGGTGAATGCCTTGATGGACTTCGAAGATGAGCATTTTGTTCTTAGACTAAGCATTGATAAGCAATTTGATTGGTTGATGCTTTGGGACACGTTAACTTTGGTTCTAATTAAGTGAGAGTGATGAAACTTAGTATATAGTTTTCATATATCAATACCTTGACTAACGTTGATTATGAGCAATTTCTGTTAGGTTTAGTAGATATTTCAACCTGAGGTAGAATGTTCAAACTTGGTTTAAGTGTTTGTTGGGTGAATGCCTTGACAGTGTTCGACTATACCCATTTTCAACGAAGGCTATGGTAAACAATTGGATTAGTTGAGACTTTGAAACACGATAACTTTGATTCTGATTAGCTGCGATTGATGAAACCCACACGTACAGATTCATTATATCATTACCTTGACCACGTTCGATGATGATAATTGTCTGCTTAGGCTAAGTAGCGATAAGCAGTTTGGAACATAACAACTCTGCTCTTAGTTGCGGTAAAATGTTAAAACTTGGTGTAAATGTTCATTAGGTGAATGTCTTGACTGAGTTTAATGATTATCATTTTCCGCTCTAAGCAGGGCTATCCAATTTCATTGGTCAATGCCTTGGGACAAGTTAACATTGATTCTAACTGATGGAGAGTGATGAAGCTTAGTGTATAGTTTCACTACCATGTACTTCAAAACATTGACCGAGTTCAACGGTGAACATTAATTTTCTGCTTAGACTAAGATTAGATAATCTGTTTGATTACTCGATACTTTTCAAAAAGATTCATGTGTAAATAATTAGTATGTGTCATCTATTTATTTTGGGATGTCGGCAGCGAACATCAGTCTCGCTGTTGGCTTGTTTATTAATATTTCGATCTAGAATCGAAGAAGTTGTTTGAATTTACTTTTTTTCCTGAAATATAAAAAAATAAAACTGGCCCGGTGGACACGAATGACACAGGGAAACGAAATATTAACAATTATCAGTATATGTTAAAATAAATGCTGTAATCGGTTTGAACACGTATTAATGATTATTTGTATGTTTATTCCAGGTAATTTATATTGTAATGCTACATTTGATACTTGGGGATGTTGGAATTATACCTTAGCTGGTGAACAAGCTGTAATACAGTGCCCATTACACATCTTTCCTAAAAGTGAAGGTAAGGAACCAACCCCATAGCCAGAAGGGGGCAAAGGGGGGTAGTGCCCCCCAAAAAATTGCCGAACATAGTTCTAAAATACATACTGCTTGTAATAGACAGCGGTTATGGATCATCATGTGGAGTATTGATTTGGGGATGTTTTTATATATTACATATTATTGGTTATGCTCTGATATCTATCTGCCATATATTTTGTTCTGACTTGCTCAATGACCCACTGTTGTGTGGGGCCCGGTCTTGTCACTATGTTCATTGTTCAGAGTTCGCTAGAAAATGATTTTCTGGGCTGGAAAACAAATTTTCCGTGGCAGAACCCCGGTACCCACCTTCGTCTGGGGGTGGGGGTGGGGGCACCTAAAACGTTCACTGCCTCTCCGCAGCCAGCAGGGTGGGTACGGGCCTGTAAGGAACTTTATTTTACAAGTTCCATGGTTACGAATAGATAATAATAAATAAGGGCATTATTAACGAAAGCAAACGTAAATTGAAATCATTTAATAAAACGGCCATTTAATTTTTGGAGGGTTAAAATAATTATAGTACAAATTTATATTCTTAAAATAATGTAAATGTAAGATTTTAGTGAATAAGACTCCGGTTTCATTTGTCTTTCCGTGTTTAGCACTGTCGTCTAAATAGACAATGATAATACAGAGGCCATATTCACGAAAACAAACGTCAACTGAAATAGATTTGGAAAACGGTGGTTTCATTGATTGAGAGCAAATCATAGTATATCTTTTTTGCTCTAGGCCAATGAAAGTTTTTGCATTCTTAAATGAGAGAGAAATAGGGTTTAACGTACACTCGACACAAACTAGGTAATTTCGGACTAACATATGGTTTAATGTTATTTCAAAAATTTGCTTGCGCGTAGGGGTCTTTAGCAGAGGGAGGAAACCGGAGGACCCGGAGAAAACCCACGAGGTTGTACAGGCGATCCTACTCCTTGTCACGTATAACCGGGGATTCGAAACCACGCCAGTTGAATCAATGACAGGTCTTATGATACAGCGCGCACGTGCTAACCACTTGACCCCCCCCCCCCCCAATTTCAAAGGAAACGGCTATTTTATTGGTTGAGAGTTAAAATTATAGTACGCATGTTTACTCTTGGGCAATGAAGGGGTTGCATTCTTAAAATATTTTAGTTTAGTGATTTCGTGAAAAAGACTTCATGTAGTACATTTATCGTGGTAATGATCAATATAAAGATATTTTGATGTGAATACAATTCTGTTTGTGTTTGGCAGGTGCTCGATGAAATAATTATCTAGTGGTATTAACCTGGCACCGCTTCCAAAAACAAAACTTGAAACACACCTTCCCTGTTGATGCAATATATAGAGCACGAAAATAGGTTTTACGTAGAAAATTGCAAAAGCGTACTCATAAACAGTATCTATTAAGGAGGGGGGGGCGAATGGTTAGCACGTGCGCGCTGTATCATACGGTCTGTCATTGAGTCAACTGGTGGTTGTACGTGACAAAGAGTAGGGTCGCATGTCCAACCTTCGTGGGTTTTCTCCGGGTCCTTCGGTTTTCTTCTACTGTTAAAGACGCTTACGCGCAAGCGAATTATAGAAATAAAATTGAACCAGGTGTTAGTCTGGAAATGACAGTTTGTGTCATGTGGACGTTAAACCCCATTTTTTCTCTCTCTCAGTATCCATTAAGGACACCATATAAGATTTCTCGGCTTTTCCCACTAAAAAATTATAGTAGTACTGGTCACTTGATTTGATATATATATCCTTTGTTTATTGCTTGCAGGGGGGTTGGATGGTCGAATGGTTAGCATGTGCGCGCTGTATCATACGGTCTGTCATTGAGTCAACTGGCGGGGTTTCGATTCCCCGGTTGTACGTGACAAGGAGTAGGGCCGCCTGTCCAACCTCGTGGTTTTTCTCCGGGTCCCCCGGTTTCCTCCCACTGCCAAAGATCCCTACGCGCAAGCGAATTATTGAAATAAACTTGAACAATGTGTTAGTCCTGAAATGACCTAGTTTGTGTCGAGTGGATCTTAAACCCCATTTCTCTCTTATTGCTTGCAATGTCTATGTAGTTTGTGTGCCTTGTCCGTGGGTTTGTCATGTGGGTTTTGTGTGTGTGTGTGGTGGCGTCCTCCTGCATTTGCTATATGAGTACAATTAATTATTATATGATTATATTTATAGAGTACGCTCACAAAGACTGTGAAGACAATGGTACATGGAGAGTTTTCCCGCCTAAATATGAACCGTGGAGTAATTATTCACAGTGTTCTAGTTGGGAGGAGGTAAATATATTTAAAATTAATAGTGAGTGATATAGATTACTGACATAGCTGTCGTCCAGTAAATTAACAGATTCCCAAGACATTGCTGGAACCTACGCGAAGATGACCATCAATTATATCTCAACAGAGGAATGTCTAATTTTATGGAAGGATGGCCTAAAATCTAATTGCTATATTCGTTGATCTTCATCGACTGTTGATGTGATAATGTGAAACTGGTATGGGAGGCTTGGTGTGTGTTGAATTGGATGAAGACTGAGTAGGCCGCAGCGCCGCTGTCGGGGAAAACTTTCCTTCATACCACATTGCACGGCATATGCCCGTATTTATTAACCCGCGATGGTGCAGTAAAGGTGGACGTTAAACCTCCATTTCATTTGATTTTTGACAATGGAACGATTGGTAAAATAATCCGTTTAAAAACAGCAATCGGCTAGTTACAATAACAAAAATATATTCAGAGTTTTTTCAAATATTTATATATTGACTATGGTTGAATTCTTTGAAATTTTGTTTGAAATTGTTAAAACTTATATACTATGTATTGGCGGACATTGTTAACTATATTACTTAACTTCTATTCCACTTAACCGCTTTTGGTACTTTTCTTATTGCGACGTGTCTTCAAATGGATTAAATTTAGGAGGTTATTCAAATGGAAAAAAATTAAGAGGTTATTCAAATGGACAAAATTTAAGAGGTTATTCAAATGGACAAAATTTAAGAGGTTATTCAAATGAACTAATTCAAATGGACAAAATTTAAGAGGTTATTCAAATGGACAAAATTTAAGAGGTTATTTAAATGAACTAATTCAAATGGACAAAATTTAAGAGGTTATTCAAATGGACTAAATTAAAGAGGTTTGGGTATTATTCAAATAGATTAAATTTATTTAGAGAATGAACTTTATTATTCAAATGGATTAAATTTAAGAGGATATTCAAATGGACTAAATTTAAAAGGTGTTGATATTATTCAAGGGGTTTGGGTACTTCTCAAATGGATAGAATTTAAGAGGTTTGGGTATTATTCGAATGGGCAAAATTTAAGAGGTTTGGGTATTATTTAAATGGACTAAACTTTGGTACAATGGTTTGTTTCCTGCAAAATCACTGTTTCAGTTATATCCCTTCGCTTCATTATCCCGGTTGCTGCAGAACAGTAGGACGTTAAACCCCCATTCTATTCCTTTAATAAGTTTTAACAGAATTAGCCGGTGCTTGCTCCGTCTTATGTTGACGAATGATTACGTTTATGAGCAACGCGGTGGCGATATTGGTAAAGTAATCTACTAAAAATTCTGATCCATACTATCGTTTACTACTAGCACGAAACGGACAACCAGTACTATTAACGCTTGATCGACTACTTTGGTACATTCTTTGATTTTCGTCGGGAACTAGACCGTACTAAATAGAAATAATGGCGGTTAATGTATTAGGTCAGTACTACAGGGAAGTTAGTATAACCTCTACTCACTGAAGACGAAGTTCTTTAGTTGAGGTCATTTTGTAATGAAAATGAATGTTAAAGCGGCTTGTTTTTATATCGAAAGGATGATCGAAGGCGTTACTACAATTGTTACTCAGTACTGTCAACCTAATCAACAGTTCGATGACAGGACTTGTTACTCAGTGTTTAAGCACTTTTGACCAGGTAGCGCATTAACTAAGTTTTGTGGCTTGTACGTAAACATAACGTATTTACATGTATGATCGTGAGATCATTGGTTCTTTCCAACTTGTCCCAGTTGTATGTTGGAGCGGGTTATCGCAGATAAAACCCAGCGAATTCAGTTAGATTGCTGATCACACGGTCCGTGATAGTCAAGACATGAGACAAAGGTTGCCATGTATCTTTCTTCCTATTTTAATGCCCAAAATCATGTCACGATTTACATCCTTTTACCACAGTCTCTTAAAGGACAAACGAATGTGTTCGCGTGTATATCCAGTGTTTGATAACAATATTTAATATTCAATTTAGGTTTGATAAACAATATTTCATCCAATTTAGGTTTGATAAACAATATTTTATATCTAATTTAGGTTTGATAAACAATATTTTATATCTAATTTAGGTTTGATAAACATTATTTTATATCCAATTTAGGTTTGATAAACATTATTTTATATCTAATTTAGGTTTGATAAACAATATTTAATATTCAATTTAGGTTTGATAAACAATATTTCATCCAATTTAGGTTTGATAAACAATATTTTATATCTAATTTAGGTTTGATAAACAATATTTTATATCTAATTTAGGTTTGATAAACATTATTTTATATCCAATTTAGGTTTGATAAACATTATTTTATATCTAATTTAGGTTTGATAAACAATATTTTAAATCCAATTTAGGTTTGATAAACATTATTTTATATCCAATTTAGGTTTGATAAACAATATTTTATATCTAATTTAGGTTTGATAAACATTATTTTATATCCAATTTAGGTTTGATAAACATTATTTTATATCTAATTTAGGTTTGATAAACACTATTTTATATCTAATTTAGGATTGATAAACAATATTTTCTATCTAATTTAGGTTTGATAAACAATATTTTCTATCTAATTTAGGTTTGATAAACAATATTTTATATCTAATTTAGGTTTGATAAACAATATTTTATATCTAATTTAGGTTTGATAAACACTATTTTATATCTAATTTAGGTTTGATAAACAATATTTTATATCTAATTTAGGTTTGATAAACATTATTTTATATCCAATTTAGGTTTGATAAACAATATTTTATATCTAATTTTGGTTTGATAAACATAAACAATATTTAATATCCAAATTAGGTTTGATAAACAATATTTTATATCCAATTTAGGTTTGATAAACAATATTTAATACTCAAATTAGGTTTGATAAACAGTATTTAATACTCAATTTAGGTTTGATAAACAGTAATTAATACTCAATTTATTTTTGATAAACAATATTTCATAGCGATGTAGATTGATAAACAATTTTTTATCTCATTTAAGTTTGGTAAACAGTATTTTTCACCAAATTTAGGTTTGATAAGTTATATTCAATTAACACCTGATTTTATTATGAAATAAACAACAAAACAAACATAAAAGAACAGTCAAAAAGTGTTTCTGTTTACTTAACAAAACGGGAAAAACTATTTTTAATCAATCTGACTGGCATGGTGTTTGGTTTGCTCTTCTTGATTTTTACCAATAATGTAAATTTTAGTCTTCGTTTCGTATTTGTTTCCCGTGGAGTATGGAATTTCCCAGTTCCGTGCTTAATGGTGCTGTTTTAGATCGATGAATCGTTAATAAAAATCGGAATTACAAGAGAATTATTGGTTAAAAGCAAGTGGCCAAAATCAAAGGCATTAAGCCACTCTTTATGATTATAATTAAAAAGAATAACAACCACTGGTATTAACATAGAAGTATTGATCAATCGATAAAACAAATACTTCACTGGAATGGAAGAAAGAAATTTTGAAGTGTTTCAGAATTATGATACATAACCTGATTTTTACAATAGAATTATTGTTTTTATTATTTTTGCATTAGGATAATCGTTTGTGTAAATACTACAAACAAATGGAAGTCGAATCGATTCATAATTGTTTGGCGTTTGTACATGTATTTGATTAATTTGACAAGCGCATTAATCTTATATTAATCCTTCAAAGTTCAATACAAAATAGATTAATAATTCTTAAGGGCTTTTGAATTAAGAAAGATCATTTCGATCTTAACAAAAATTATGATATCAACAATAGGATGGCTTGAAGTTAATCGATTAAGCAAATATTAACGATTGGAAACCGCTATTGATTTTAATACACATAAAGTACATTTGTTCTCTATTAATAATAGAACTGATACTTTGTGACAGTGATTACATTTTTTGTCAATAATAATCAGATATATGAACCATCATAGTTAAAGACAGTGTCACGTCTTATCCATTTGTCTCAATAAAAAGGCAACTGATCTTTCAATTAAAGCTTGTTTGTGATTTAAGGAATAGCTTAAAAAAGCACATTACAATGAAATAGTCTGTTTTTCTTTGTGTAGAAAGGCGTAAAAAACAATTACAATTGTTGTTGCAGTTTGTGTTATCTTTAATATGAAAACAAAGGAATATTACATAAGATGATAAAGATTTTATCCCATTATCTTTGACATGGTTGGAGGTTGAATTCGCTGAGTTAGATAAAGTTACATATGTTTGACGACAAACGTATCACTTAAGCATGGTTACGGGCAATGTATACTCATTTCTACTGCTGCACAAGACAGCAGTTACTGTTGAATGCTTATAGCTTTTCTGTTATCTTACTAGGCCATTGCGACACATTTATTTAGGACGATTTGATTTATCCACACGCAAACTTGGTAGACCAGTGAAAACAATATCGTAATGCTCTTCAGCACTGCTTTAACGTATATTGGGTACATTTACTCTTTCTATGACCTCAGATAACCCCTTTACATTTACCTGATAAGTTCACGAAACGTACGAAGTATAAAAATGTTTCGTGTCTTTGTACAATAAAACAGTTTGTAAGGAATTTGGTCATGTAAATGCATTTTGTATGATTGTTGTGTAAACGTTGATTAAGCCTTATCGGTATTGTTGGATCCCCACGACAATTTAATAGATAACACCCAGCAAATGTCACGAACATCATACAATTACCCGACTTTCCACCATCCGGAAATTACAATACGCGGCACAACAATAGGAAATATTAGTACAATATTGAATAAAGTTATTATAGGAGCACAGCCAAATTGGGATTATACATTTATTGTTCCAGTCCCGTGTATGCTAATTATGATAGATTTATTGTGAAGTTGGTCGATTTTGTGTGAACAATCTATAGGGCAGAGTTCTTTTCCTAAAATTGTAGCAATTTGTCTTATTTGAGTCATATTTATGGAGACCGCGATCGATATTCAGACATTTTGAAAAGTAAATTTCTAGAGTTATCTGTCCGTTT